TAGTTAACTTAAATAATCGTTTTTCATTTTCTAAGGCTTCCCTTTACGAAAAGAATTTAATGTTTATAATTATTTTCAGCATTCGTACGAATTCTATGCATAAAATAAACATTTTCTTTAACAAAATATACTTAATCGGAAAGTATATACCCGGTATTTCCGGTGTATCTACCACATATAAAATGATCATTTTGCTTTAGTTTACATTTTTTCCATTACCAAAATCATGTAGCAGACGTGTCGGCCGATGCGTCCTGTCTCCCGGGTGACGTCACTACCAGCAACCAATGGCACGCTTTTTCCGTTCCTGGCCTAACCTTAGTATATTAAAGAACCTTGGTCGCGAGTCTTTGGTTTGTTGCTGCCCCAACAAGCAAATGTTTGTGCATGCAATATAGAAAGAGCGTTTTAAAGTAAAATAATAATAATAACAACAAAGCGTTAAAAAAAAAAACAGGAATCACTGCCGTTAAACCATTCTTCACCATGCTTTTAGAGGAGAAAAAGGAGCTTTACCGACCAAACTGATTTATCAGAATAGCAATAATTGCTCAACTGCACTGCAAGAATATCGATGCTTGAAAGACTTACGAAAAAGGCCTATGTCGAGGCAGGATTAAAAAAAAATTATTCCTAAATTTGAAGAGACTGGGGAGTTATGTGTATGCTGCGAGAAAACGGATTTCAAAGGAAATTGTGAAAGAAGTTGCTCTTGCCGTGGTCGAAAGAGTATCCCGTTCCGAGTATTCTCGACAAGTGCTCTAGCGGTGTCAGGTGATTTATCTCTCTCTTGGTCGATAGTACGAAAGGGTTTTGCGATCCTTTGTAAAGTGGTATCTATACAAAATCCAAATTCTGCAAAATCTGCATCCTGAAGACATGGACAAATGCATTAATTTGCTAGCCTTCTTTTGGCCAGAATAGCAGTTGACAGTGACACCTTTGAACACTTTGTGGTCGGATGAGTCGCATTTGCTCTAGACGGCGCAGTTAATACTCAAAACTGCAGCATTTGCGGTATTGCAAGTCCTAATGATTACATTAGTGTATGGTATGGCATTACTGCTTATTTCATTCTTGGTCTCTTTTTCTTTGAAGACGACTTGAGAAGCATTACATCACGGATGCCCATTATTGCGAACTTCTTCAGCAGCAAGTCATTCTTGCCATATAAGAAAAATAATGTTTAGAGACAACTGTCTTCATGAAAGATGCTGTACCACCTCACATTATCGGACCAGTGATGGCACCTTCGTGCCCTTTTGGAGAAGATCGAGTAATTTTGAGAAGTTTTTCAATTGCCTGCCCCCCCTCGCTCTCCGAACTTGAATCTCTGTGACTTCTGGCTGTGGAGATTTCTGAAAGATTGTATCTATGGAGGAAGCATATGGACTATGCCTGAACTGACAGCAAGTTTATTGCTGCAACTGATCGAAAAAAACCCTTCGCGCTACTGTTGAACGCGCTATAACATGCTTTCAACGTGTGATTGACGCCAATGGAATGCACATTAAACAAATGTTGTGATTAAATAAAATTTTTGTAATTCTAAATAAAAATTTTGTAATTCTTTTAAAAAAAATAAAAATTCATGCATTTAAGGGTTAATTCAGGGATGTCTAAAATTCACGTTGTGATATCGAACCAAAAATGAGTCCAATAAGGGGTATAGTCCTCTCTCAGAGCGACAGAGGTCGTGCAGCCTTACGGTAGCCAGGAGGCAGATGAGAAAATCCTGTGGCAGTTGATCCCATATCTGCAGTAAGGCAGTTTTCAGCTCTGGGATGATGAGATGGAATGCTCTGGAAGATGCCTGGAACGTTTTTGCCATCCCAAAAGTGTTCCAGGCATGCTGTATATATAGGGTTATGATCAGGAAATCTGGCTTGCCAATTCATGCGGCGAATAATCTCACCTTCCAGATAATCGTTGATTAGCTGAGCCCTATGTGAATGGGCGCTATTATCCTATAACAAGAACCCAGGACCAACTGTGCGCCTGAAAATTCGAACACAGGGCTCTAAGATCTCCTCTCTATACCTCATAATAGTCGTGAAGCTTTTGCCAAACACATGCAGGAGTCTAACATAATGCCCGCTTAAGCCATCAGATTTCAACTATCATGTAAGGTATTTCTCCCGCCTTCTTGGTGTGGTGGTCTGCACGCTGGGTGCGTATTCCAGAGGTCCGCGGTTCGATTTATGGATGCAGTGTCCTGAAAGTGTTTCCACAAATTGTACATGACACTGGGAGTGAAGACTTCTTTTTAATTGCAGTTTTTTGAGGGTCTTGAATCTGAAAATGATTCTAAGTTCTTTCCCATCATGTAAATTACTGTTATAATTTACTTTGACACTTTCTTGATTGGTATATAAACTTACATAACTTCCTGTTAGACTATAAAATAGAAATGCTAATTTAGAAGTCAAACAACAAATGCTAGAAATGCTAGTAAAAAAAGAAGTATAGAATAACAATGCATGCTCCGAAAGAAAATAAATAGGTAGTCCAGAAGTTTCTGGCCTAGTATGCTTTAAAAGGAGTAGAGAAAAATGAATAATATTCAGCTTATCTGTACAATTTCCTTGCACGATGATACACTTTTCACATTATTTAATGAACAACTTTGTGCTTTTGGAAAAGTAATCTGAAGATTTAAATTCAAAATGTTCCACAAGTGTTCCTTTCACACAATCACCACTATTATATCCCTTTTCAAAAAGGTCAGACTTCAGGTTGGAGAAAAAGAATAATTATTTAAAGCTAAACCCATATTTCTTTACCACTTCTTTGGTAGCAACAGATGAATGCACAGAAGATAAACTCAGTGGCTTAACATTCTATACCTTTTCTCTTTAATTTCACTGCACAATTTATGGAAAAGACTTGTATAATGTTTATGTGTCTTTCTTTCAAAATTATCAGAAGGATCCCTTATAAATCCTTCCAAAATAGCAGGCATTTCTTTTTTGTCGACTGCCGTATATTTTCGTTTCTTGGCAGTGCTTCATCTGGTTTTCTTCAGACCACTGATTCCCTCTTTGATAGATGATAATGGTATAAGCCCATCCTTTTATCATTAGTTACAATCAATCACAAAAAAATTCTCTGATTTGCATCGTAAAGCTATAACAACGGTTTACATCAATGAGACGTTACTGTGTTTGAAATGCTGAAAGAAATCGGAGCAACCATCATGTGAAACTGTTCATGCAGAATTTGCAAAACAGTTTTAGATATATCTAATGTTGTTGCTATATCTCTGACAATTAATCTCTTATCCTTCAATATTTCTCACCAAATGCAAACAATATTTTCTGATGTCAATGCCTCAAATGCTCAGCCTCCATGAGCCTTGTAAATGAAAAATTGTTTTACCCTTCTTTGAATGTAGAGGAAAACAAATCAGCAAACACATAATCCAAGCATTGTTTGATTTCTTTGGCATTAATACTTTATTTAGTCACAAATTTAAATTGGCATGTTATTTCATTCATTAAGCAGGGAAAAAAATGCAGGCAATTCCTTCAAATTTTTTCATTTAGTATTGCTACTACATGTGTGGATACAAAACAACTTTTTATAGGTGTGAGACTAGAAATTTTAAGATCAACCTATTTACATTATATATGTAGGTAAATCCAAAAGTATGGTAGAATCACTACATACATCATACACTGGAACCTCGAGATGTGAGGAAAATATGAGCAAAAAATTTGTCTCTAAATACAAGCACTGACTCGAGTAACAAGCAATGAGCCAGGCTGTTGGTATACGTGGTACCATTTCCTGATCCGGCTCGACTTGGGGAATGCCCTCGTTAGATCACTCAATGTTCATTGATCTACGTGTTTGTGTGCTCTTGAGTTAATTATTTATCACATTTAACGTGAAAATAATTATTTCACAATGCCTCTCAAGAAGACTGTTGCCTAAGATAGTGCTGCAAAGAAAAAGAAGGAAGCCACGGCCATTGAAATTAAGAAAGAAATCATAGATAAACATATGCGTGGTGTAAGAATGATGGAATTGGCGAAGACTTACGCCCTTATAGGGTATAAAAGGAATTGTTTTAAGAGAAATTTTTTTTGGCTGTATGCTAATCTCCTTATTCTATATTAATTTAAAATTTTTACCTTGAAATCTTGCCAAAATCAAACGGCAAACCCTAGGTGTGCCCAGACCGGGCTCACTGATAATCTAGGACAACTGAGAGTATGTATTCTTTGTTCCTTCGCATCTCACCGGTCAGTTCATTGACAACATTGCTCGTTTCAGCACTCTTTTCGAAGCTCTATTCAATCAGTGTGCCACTTTGGGCACATGCACAGAATTAAAACGATAAGTGCTATCTTCACAAAATTTTACTTGTGTACTCCTCTAGGCCTAATTAGACTGCCTACTTTTTTTTAAAAATCAAAACTCCGACTTTAAAAGGTAGCATGCCGGAAAGGGTTAAAAAGTTCTTTTTACAAAATTCATCTACAATTTTATATGATGAATAATAAAAGCACGGGTACCTAAATAATGAAATCAAACTTCATGGTCTAAAGAGTAAGCCATTATCTTTATAAATTTATTAAAGGTACCTCATGCCTTTATTTTTTTTTTCTGAATTTTGTAAAGAGATATATTTAATCTCTCACTCTCATTAATTATATGATAGATGGCTCACTCACATCCGATAAATCATATGATAAATTATTTTTCTTTATCTAATTCATTAATGATTTTATGAGCTTTAAATAAAAGTTTATTATTTTTAAAAAAAAACTTCAAATTTTTTTCATTTATCTTAATACATTATTTACACATACAACCATGTTTTATATAAGAACTTGCAAATGTTTATGTATTTTGTTGGGCTTACAAATAGTAAATAATAAGAATGAAAATTAAACAATGATAAAAAATAGCCTACTTCTAAATATGTAAATTATTATAACATGAAAAATTAGATTTACATGAAATTGAAAGAGTAAACAAAGCAATAAACTCACCTGAGCCACAGTTTCTCGAGCCAAAAAGTTAATAATTTCCACAGCTAGTTTGGTTGGTAACAATGGTGTGACATTATCTTCCAATAGCCAGACTTTGAACTTTTCAGCTTTACCTCCAGGAACTGTATAAGATAGTCAGTGCATTTAGTTTAAATTATTTTTTAATAAAACTTATTTTTAAATAAATTTCCTTTAAATTAAGAACTTCTAAAATGAACAACTTTTATGTTTAAATTTTGCGAATTTTTTTAAAATATATAATATACTTTAATTTGATGCTCGGTAACCACATATATATTTAACAATAATTTTAGAGACACTGCTGATTTATATCTATGGTTGATAATTATTATTTTACAGAAAAGAAGAATGAAATTTCTTTAAAAAAGAGAAGTGTTAGCATAAACTTTTAAATTGTATCAGAGGCATTTAAATATACTAAAACATTTAAATTATGTAAGGAAATATCATTGTACACCCTCCCAAAATCATAAACTTCCTTTTTTAATTTTCATTGTAACAAGTATATACTCTGTTATGGATTTCATTATACTGAAGATTTCTCAGGTCAAAATTTTGCTGAATATTTTCTAAATATTATTTTCGTATTCTTTATAAATTAATATTAACAACAGCTTAAAATGCTTACTAAAGACACAAATTTAAATTTTCATGAGAACATGAGATAAATTTTTACACAAAACATAAAGCATTATTTATTACACACAATTAAATGCAACATCATTTGAATGCATAATGATAGAATTCAAGAATATTTGAATACATTATAATAGTTTGAAAGAGAAAGGTGGATCACCTTTGTCCCCAGATATGTGATTTATTCAGATTATTTTTAAACAAACGTAATAGCATGGTTATGTTTCTTTATTATTAACCCAGAAGGGGTATTAGTCCTGAAAACATGATTTTGCATTGTTTCACTTTTTATTGGAGTGTGTTGCCATTCAGAAAAACATAAGATATAATTCTTCCATATTTAATCTGTCTGTTATTAATTTACAAACTATTAAAAAGCAGTAGATACAGTTCTTAAGGGTATTATTTTTTTAACTTTTTAATCGGATAGATTTAAATAAAAATGCATTTAATTTATGATACATTTAATTAAAAACATTACATATTTTTATAGAATTACATTACATATTTTTCATCTTTTAAATATACAGAATATGTATAATATTCCCATGTTAAATCTAAATACATTTCATCTAATATCTCATAAAATAGTTAACTATTCCACATGGGCCATCTCTATCGATTATCTGTACTGATAAATTATATTAAATTTTAAAAGTCTTTTTGGCTGATCATGAAAATCTGAACTCTTTCAGACTTTTTTTTTCTTTTTACATTTGTATAACTTCATTTTTCCTTTTATGTATATTATTTTAAATCCAGATTAGTAGATTGTAAAATTTGCAAATTTATCAACTAATCGTTGACTAGATTAAAAACCTGATTTTTTTTCCATGGAGGGGGATAGGAAACAGGAAAAAATGACAGATAAGTCAAAGTAGTGCTTTTTGAGGGCAGAAAAAATTTGATGCTCAAAAGAAACAAGGCAAAAATTGCAAATGGCATGAATGAGTTTGCTACAGTATCACTAATTTTACTATTATCAGCATAATATTTCATGCAAATTACAAACAGCAGTGATATTACTGTCTTTTCAAGTCAACTTTTAAATTGCTGCTATGTAATATATTATTATCATATCTCAATATCTGTAGTTTCAGTTTTCGATGGTTCACAGTGGAGAAAAAAAAGTAGTTTAAAGTTTAAAAATGTAAGCTACCCTATGGCAAAATGTGGAGTAGAGATACAGAAACAAACTAAGCACTGAATTCCTACAGTAATCAGAAATATATGCACTTGCATACACTTTACTAACAGATGGATGTAACTCACTGGAAGGAGTTAACATCCATGTTTTAGGAAAATTAATTATGTATTTTCTGGATGTAATTCAATGGGAGTGGGCGATGAAAATAGTTATCTTTTAAATCTTGTACATTCTCAGGTTACTCCACAGTACAATTTTCTTAGCTGAGCTTTCCCTTGTAATGGCTATGAAAATGTAAACAAGGGATCACAACTAGTCAGGTAGAACATTTGATTTGTCCCCCTCTTCAATATACACAGACTTTTCCATCAATTTTTCCTTAGCTCTGCCTTGGCTAATGAAAACAGAATTTCCCTGTTTTCATTAGCGACATTCTATTGAACTCAAATTTTTTACATACCTTGTTTCCATGCAAAACAGCAGTGATATTACCAATGCTTTTAAACTTAAGAGAAGCCATGACATCTTATCCATTAGTATGAAAGCAAAAATTTTGTAAAGTAAATTTTGCATTACTCTATTACGGTACCTGAAGTGGTATATTGTACAGTATATTTTGTCCTGTTTGACATTAAATTCACTGTAAACTGTTCTTTCACATATCCATAGTATACTCCGTAATGAATTATTGCCAGGTACATAGGTACTGCTATATGTCTCATGTTAGTACCGATACTTAAAAATTGCATATTTTAAAGTTTCACTGTACGTTTTTTAAAACTTACAGTTCAGTAATAGCTTATAGCTAAATTTCCTTGGTTTTTGAAATAATAGTAATTTAATTAAATATATTTATTACAGAAATGATGAACTTTGATAGGAGATGTTCAGAGATATGATGAATTTTAACAGGAGATGAGAAATGATGATTTCTATGATCCCCGTACATAGAAAACCAGTTTAGATGCCATCCTATTTAAATGAAGCAGGTGAAATCTCTCAAAGCTTCACAAATTTTTATTTTATTTCAGAATCATGGAATTATTTATAAATAAAATAACTGGCATTTACAGTCAATAAATTTATAACTCTAAAAGGATTGGATTTTTCAACTATGGCAAAGCACACGAGGGCTATCTGCCTGAAGGGAGGGATGCCTTCATGGAGGACTTTCTAAGGGAACTGGCTCGTATACCCGTTAACATGGGGAAACCACGAAAAGCCATGCAGCCAGCCCGTTGGGGATTTGAACCTCAGACCGAACACCATGTCAGCGTCTTTAACCTTGGTCGCTGGTGGGCTAACTCTAAAAGGACTAATGCAATTACATAAAAGACAGATAAATTAAATGAACTCATATACAACTTATTTGCAATCATACAACAATATTAGTTTAATATGTATCATTACAAATATCAGTATTTAACAAATGCTTCAGATATACATAAATTCATCTTTAAAAATTTCAAAAATATTTAATTAATCCAAATGAAAAATGGTCAATGCATTTTCAAGACTCAAATTGCAGCTTTTTTTTGGGGGGGGGAGGGAGAGATCTTGAAGATTTATTTTCTTTTTTTATCAAAATGCCTAGGGTCAGTTTATTAGAAATAAATCATAAGATGAAGAAAATTATTGTGAGTTTTTATAATATATAAAGGATTCAGAGATCGAAAAGATACCAAAGAATTAACCAAAACATATGTAAGTAGCAAAAATTGCATTTACCAATTTGAAGTGCAATCCTGCCAGAATGCACGAATGCATGTGTGTGGAGAGGAGTAAGGTAATTTCTATACCATGCAACACTGGCCAATCCAGTTGTGGGCTGGGGCACTGGGAATCTTTTTTGAAACAGGCTTTGTCACAGATGCTCAATGGGTGGAGGACACATGAAAATTGAAAGAATTGTGACCAAGACAACTACAAGATACAACCTGGTTTCGATAGGATTGCACAACTTTAAGTGAAAGTATAGCTGTACTCCCAGACTATTCCACAGGAAATGGACATGTTGAGACACATTATGGAAGCCTGGCCATGTCACCTCAATCAATACATTCAAGGAGTAGGACATTTAGAAGACATTACTCTTAAAATTAGCTGTTATTTATATTGCCATATTATAAACTTCATAAAATGCCTATGTATACACTAGATTTTCTCAGACTTTTTAAATTTTGTACCACTTAAACATATGTAGTATTACATGCCAATATATGTACAAAAAGAGGTGCATTTGTAATAATGTAGGAAATAATGTAACAAATATACTAATTTACCAAAAATAATTTAAAATAATGTATCATTAGTGATATTTGGGCCATACTTATGCTTGTGATAGTATCTGGTGCATACTGCTAATTTCACAACCATATAAAGTTACTACACTGTCTTTCTGCCAATCTCAATGAAGAAGTATTTCGGAGTCTCTATGGTTAAAAACCATGCACCTCCCCATCAGAAAAGTAAAGATGAGTAGGATTTGGGGAAACCAGAAAAGAAGGGTAAGGAAGAGAGAAGGAAAGCATTATTTTAAATTGGTAGCTACAATATATGCGATCCCGTAAAAGATGTCAGTTATTTTTAAGCTTTCACGAAATATAACAGTTTGATTAAAATGTTTAGGAATATACATTACCTTCCATTTTATACAGATGTTTGTTTAAAGGTTTACCACAAGTTTTCTAATTACTTTTTTTTTAATTTAATCTTTCAGTCTTAATGAATGGAGATGTCTCAGGTTAAAGAATGCTATGAGGTATATTCAAACAAAATCTGATATAATGTTATTTCATAGATCCACTCCATAAAATTACTCATACAGACAAAAAAACGAAGAAATTATGGAAATTTTTATCATTTCAAGTTACAGACTTTTAAAGTAGTGGAATATGATATCTAATGCTGAGGAGAACCATAAAAAAGATTATTTTCTATTTAATTGGAATTTTTCAAGAATCAAAGTTACTGTGACCGCTAATGCCTTTTTGTTGAAAGTAACAACAGAGTGTATTTTGTTGGAGCTTACAAAAATAATAATGTGAACTCTGATGTTACTTAAAAATAGTGTTACTAAAAAACTTTTAAATAAATCTGCAAAGAAATATTTTACTGATATAAGAAATTGATTTTATAGCACTAGATAGATTCTTAAGAAATTTTTGTAAAAATAGGAGGGGAACTAAAAGCATATCGTATTTTGCCCTTTAGAGTTTTAAATGAAATCTATTTCACACTTCTTAAGCTGCTATCACACATCCATTTGCTTCGAAAGAACAACTGTTAGGAACAATTTTTCTGCTTTGTCACAACAGC